AAAATTACTAGAATTCATTAAATACCTAATGACCCAAAATCTGGATATATCAATCCCAAATGGAGTGGGTTTGCAATTTAGATCACCAAAATGTATGATCTCAAATTGTACACATAGTATAAATATAATATAATTAATTAGCTATGCATATATAAATTTATAATTATATATTATTTTAAATAATAAAAAATCATGCACAATGTAAGATAAATAGTAACTAACTTGGTGTTTATGGATGTTCAATAATATATATATAATATTGTACAATAATGAAAACAATCTAGATAAGAATTTCAAAACGAATTACGACCTAAAATACCATACTAATTAAACCTACCCTGATCGTACCACATACTTAAAAATATATCGTACCTGTACCCATATCACGTACTAAAACAACCCACGATCCAAGTAATATAGGTCTCAAGTATATCAGCATTTTACAGACAAAAAAATGGCACAAAAATGTGTCCGCTTGGGGCAAGTTTGAGATCCCTAGGGAACTACGTATTGGACCATTGCAGAATCAGTATAGCTGAATCATGCAATTGTTGTTCCTTAATACTTTCACCATTGGTGTGAATCTAAGCAATCTAAAATGGCAACATCACTATATCGAATCAAATGAGCCGCTTGTGCAAATACTTCCAAAAGCAACCTCGACAATAGATCATCCAAACACATTAAAAATGAAGTAAACACAATTTCAACAACACACAACTTCCATAGGTAAAAAGACAAGCAGACAAACCAATTCAAAAAGGGGGCTTCCTATTACCAACTCAAGGTTTGCTAATTTGAGTCAACTTGGATGACCCTAATCAAACCAATCCTCATTCAATTTTTTATAGCGTCAATATGAAACATAAAACAATTAATCTAAGAGTACCACCAATCACTAACAGATGCCTGGACGGTCTATGATAGTAGTTAACAATCCCTAAATCTTATCAACAATCAATCAAATATATCTATGTCCCGAAAATAAAGTGTTTAGAGCACTTGGTAAATCTAAAAGTCAGGGTAAAGGGGTATTAACCATAAAATGACGTGGGTTTCAGTCATTGGATCCTATTTTCTGTTCCTATAAATATTTGCAGCTGTGAATCAATGGACTACAACAGAGTTTGAAAATGGGAGAGCCACACCTTAAAATAAAACAAGAGGAAAACGAAGACAAAGGAGAACAGCGAAACATACCAGGGCTGTCCGAGACAGTTTTCAGGTATTCCGACTACAAGGACATGTCTTTAATGGCACTGGGATCATTTGGTTGCTTTGCAGACGGTTCGTCCACGCCTTTGATCATGCTGGTCCTCAGTAAGATGATGGATAAGTATGCTATTCACACTTCTTTTACACTGCAAGACATCAATAAGGTTGGTTCTGGCTTCTTAAGAAGTATATACATTCACAGATTGCTCTCATGTTGTGCCAAGATTACAAGTTTGTTTTTATTTGCTTCATTAATTGCATAGTCTCTTTTCCATATGTTGTGCTGACAGGGTTCCTTGACCTTGATCTATGTAGCCATCGCTGTAGGACTGGGTGCCTTTCTGGGTGAGTTGCTAACTCTCAGGCTCATCAATTTAACTCAAGAGTGTCATCACATACTTACATTGTGCAGAAAAATATTTCCCTGAACTTCTGGTGACACATTATGAAGGGGCAGATTATTCATATTCCCCAAACTTGCAGGACTAATTTTGCGAATCAAACTATCTTTTTATCAATCAAAAAAGAAATGACAAATCACTTGGATTTTTATGCATGCCAGTTGATATTCACTGCAAGGTATCATGTAGACAAGCAAATCACTGAATCCAAAATCTGTGCTAAACCTACCATAGCTGCACATTGAGAAGGCCTACAAATGGGGGTGCAAACATGACTTTCTTTGATGCAAGCCCACAATAAGCTGCTGATCAGTTCTCAGACAAAAAACTAGACAAAATACAGCTTGAATACAGAAGAGCAAGAGGAAAAAAAATTAAAAAACTTATTGAGACTGAAAGTTTTAAGCGCGCACACACAAATGCACCCTGCAAGCTCTCAGATTTTAAACAGGACATGTTGCTTGCAAAGTTCTGATTGGTTAATCATTGCCATCTGAACCTTTTGTTTCTGAAGGTAAATAGCTTAAGAAAAGTTTCATGCTAACAGTGTAAAATCACTTCCAAAATTCAACTCACTCATATGCTAATGTTTGGTAAATTTTTTCGGTCAAAAGGAACTGCGATGGACTTCGCTTGTAAGATGTTTCTGATAAAATAAAATTTTTACAAACATGTTAGTCTCAGTTGTAAGATGTTTCGATCAAAGAAAGAAAAAAGAAAGCCAGAAACTTTGGGATCTATGTCATGACCCAAATGGGATAATTATGCAGATTGGCTCTGTAAATATTAACCTAACATAGGCAACCAAACAATATATATACCCCCAGAAAGCCCACAAAAGGCCGGCCAGGAAATGGAAGAAGTATGTCAATGCTCTCCTTCTAAAAAGGGAGCATGGTGTTCGTATGGATCTGTCTCTGACTGTTGTTTTTTGTTTTTGAAATTTAATTTTCTTCCTTTTTTCTTCCATGTTTTTTTCCACCCTTTTTATAGTAATCAGGAGGAGGCATGGATTACTGGAACAAAATGTTGAAAACCCCCAACTTGCAACTCTTTCTACATGATCTGAAGTCATCATTTTAAATGCACTTTTTAGGTCTCCATGATTCTATAATCAGGTCTTTTTGTGCTTAAGGGATGCACAATAGTTATGGAAGCAGTGAGACCATGGATAAAAACACATAACTGTCGCAAATCTTGCCCAACACCCCACCAAAAGAAACTTAATTTCTGGCAAGAAAATTCAATTTAGAATACCTTATACAGACATTTCTAGGCTAGGTTCATACCTCTTGACTGCCATGGTTTGAATCAAACCAGTCATATTACTAGCCAGAAGAGACACCAAGGTCAATTGTCTGATTAGACAGAAAGTTCTCTCATCTTTCAGTGTTTCTTCTTGTACCAGAAGGACTGTGTTGGGCTCGCACTGCTGAGAGGCAAACTTCTCGCCTGCGCAAGAAATATTTACAGGCAGTGTTAAGGCAAGATGCCGGCTTCCTTGATAAACTAGATGGCACTTCGACAACATATCAAATCGTATCAAGTATTTCAACTGATACTCTCACCATTCAAGGTGTTCTCAGTGAGAAGGTCCATCTCTACCTCTACCATCCAAATTATTACTTCTCAATCTCCCATTTTTCCTCTATGATTTCTGAGTAGTAATTTCATTAATGCAGATGCCAAACTTCCTTATGAATATAGCAACTTTCATTACTTCTGAGGTGGTGGCTTTGTACCTCTGTTGGAAACTGGCAGTTATCGCCATTCCAGCACTATCTGTATTGATCATTCCAGGAATCATTTATGGGAGGATGATAGCTGCACTTGGAAAAAAGATTCTATTATCTTATGGAGCTGCAGGCTCGATAGCGGAGCAAGCGTTTTCATCAATCAGGACTGTATTATCTTGTGGTGGTGAGGATCAGACAAAAAGAAGCTATTCAGCAGCATTACAAGGAAGTTTGAAGCTTGGGATTAAACAAGGACTCATAAAAGGGTATGCTCTTGGAAGCATAGGCATAGCTTTTGCTGTATGGTCTTTCCAAGCTTGGTATGGAAGCATTTTAGTCACTGAGAAGAGACTAAAAGGTGGGGATGTTTTCACATCAGGAGTTTGCATCATTGTTGGAGGACTGTAAGTCTGGATACTAAAAATTATATATAAAAGCAACAGGAAGATGAAAAAAAGAACTAAACTATACAAAAAGCTCCTACCAAACTGGAAACTAAAACAACCATGTAAAATGTATAATAGGAAACCCAAATCTATCTAACAACAATTGAGATTTGGAGCTAAAATGCTTACCTGCTTTTACAGTGCACTCGGGGGCTCTCTGGCCAATCTTAAGTTCTTCATGGAGGCAGCAGCCTCTGCATCCATGATAGTTGACATGATTGAGCGAGTGCCAACTATAGATTCCGAGGACCAACGAGGAAAAATAATTGAAGATCTTAGAGGTGAACTGGAGTTCAAGGATGTGGATTTTGCATATCCTGCAAGACCTGGGAATATGGTACTCGACAATTTCAACATAATAGTGAAGGAAGGTCAAACTGTAGGATTAGTAGGTGGCAGTGGTTCAGGAAAATCCACCATAATCTCACTGGTCGAACGATTTTATGATCCAATCAAAGGAGAAGTATTTCTGGATGGGATAGACACAAAAACTCTTCAACTGAAATGGTTACGGTCTCAAATAGGTCTTGTTAGCCAAGAGCCAGTACTCTTTGCAACCTCCATTAAAGAAAATATCCTCTTTGGGAAAGAAGGAGCTTCAATGGATGAGATCATCAATGCAGCTAAAGCAGCCAATGCACACAATTTTATAAGTCAATTACCAGATGGCTATGACACACAAGTAAGTTATGAGAATTTTGAATGTTCCTACAATTGCCATCACACACAATTCACGTAACAGTATGGACTATTCCAATTACATATTTAACACTTGGTATGTAGATACATTAAGCATTTAATGCAACAAAATAGTTTATCAAAGCTATATCTAATAGGACCAAACTAAAATCAAATTTTCTGGTGAACTTCAGGCAGCATTTTCAGAGTTTTGTCATAGCAAATAAGCATTTCCTGGGTAGCAGTAAATAAATACCAACTTAGTAAACAAACATTAACCAACAATGCCAGCAATTAGAACTGTTTCCATTGCAGAACTTGTTCAGACTCTATAGGCATAATATTTAAAATTGCAGATCTTTTTCAGTTTTACCAGTGCCTGAATGGGAAAAAAAAAACCCTAAGGCGCTAATTTGTTCACTGCATCTCTGGATTGATTTAACTAGTGGTTTAGGTTTGAAGGGTGTAACAATGCCACAAATTTCCCATAAGGGGATATCTTTAAAACTTCAAATCATCTTAGGGACCTTGCAAAATGTCACATATCCCCTCCACAGAGTAGCCAATAAAAGTTGTGATATCCCACAGAACTTTAAAGAGGTCATCTTGTGAATCAAGAATGGAACAACTCATGAGCCCCCGAGATGCCTAATTTTTTATGTTTCATAGGTTGGTCAATTTGGAACGCAAATGTCCGGAGGCCAGAAACAAAGGATTGCCATCACAAGGGCTTTACTGAAGAGCCCAAGAATTCTTCTGTTCGACGAAGCAACAAGTGCATTAGATTCTCAGTCAGAGAAATCCGTGCAGGATGATCTGGATCAGGCCTCCATAGGGCGGACGACAATTATAGTTGCTCACCGTCTCACTACACTTCGAAATGCTGACTTAATAGCAGTTATACAAGCAGGACAGGTAGTAGAATATGGTTCTCATGCCCACCTTCTAGAAAATGAACTTGGCCAATACTTCAGAATGGTGCAGCTCCAACAAACATCTGCAGAAGATGAACCTTCTGTTAGAACAAATTGTAATGATGCTGAAGATATTAAAACAAAGGTGGCGCAAGTCACATCTGAGGAATTAAGAAATGGACTTCAGTTATTGGATCACGATACTACGACCCACAAACATGAAGAAGATGATAACAGCACTCCATCTTCATGGCATCTTTTGCAATTGGCAGCCCCTGAATGGAACAGGGCCATTCTAGGCAGTGCTGCTGCTCTTTGCTCTGGAGCCATACAGCCCTTTCACTCCTTCTGTATGGGTGCACTCCTTTCAGTCTACTTTCTCAATAATCATCATGAGATCAAGGAGCAAACCAAAATTTACAGCTCCATCTTCTTAGGCAATGCTGTCTTGGCTTTCACCACTACTGTGATTCAACATTACAGCATTGGCTCTGTAGGAGAGCATCTAACAAAACAAGTCAGGGAGAAACTGGTGGCAAAGATCATGACATTTGAGGTCGAATGGTTCGAACAAAAGAACAATACAAGTGGAGCTCTTTGCTCAAGACTATCTACAGAGGCAAGTATGGTCAGATCTCTTGTTTGTGATAGGTTGTCGTTATTGACCCAAGTCCTCTCTGCAGCCATTTTAGCAGTTATTCTTGGTGTAGTGCTGGCCTGGAGACTTGCACTTGTAATTATCGCTTTGCAACCTCTCATTATTGGCTCCTTCTATGCTAGAGTTGTCCTAATGAAAAGTATGTCAAAGAAAGTCTTCAAGGCGCAAAACAAGAGCAGTGAGTTAGCCAGTGAAGCTGTAAGGAATCAGAGGTCAATTGCCGCTTTCTCAGCTGAGCGGAAAATCATGAAGCTCTTCGAGGCTACGCTAAAAGATCCTGAGAGAGAGAGCAGAAAGCAATCTTGGTACGCTGGACTGGGTTTATTTATCTCTCAGTTTCTAACTGCTGCCATTTCTGGGTTAATTCTCTGGTATGGGGGAAGATTGCTATACCATAATAAGATCACATACAAGCACCTATTTCAAACATTTTTCATATTGGTGACCACAGGGAGAGTTATAGCAGAGGCAGGAAGCATGACCTCAGATCTATCAAAGGGCACCAACGCTGTCAAATCCGTTTTCATGATCCTGAAAAGAAAAAGTATGATGGAGCCAGATGATCCCGATGGGATTAAGCCAGAAAAGCTGAAGGGAGACATAGAGCTCAACAACATTTTGTTTGCATATCCGGCAAGGCCCAAACAAATTATCCTTCGAGGTTTAAGCCTCGAAATTAAATCTGGAAAAACAGTTGCATTGGTTGGGCAGAGCGGGTCTGGAAAATCAACCATCATCAGCATGATTGAGAGATTCTATGACCCAATAGAAGGACTAGTAAAAATAGATGGAATTGACATCAAATCCTATAACCTCAGAGCATTGAGATCGCACATTGCATTAGTCAGCCAGGAACCCACTCTTTTTGCAGGTACAATCCATGACAACATTAGCTACGGAATAGAGAATGCAACGGAAGCTGAAATTATTGATGCTGCAACACTGTCCAATGCCCATGAATTCATCAGGTGAAGCGTTTGTTTCCCCAGTATCACAAAGCATTATGAATGAACCCATTTTCAATATGACCTTGTACAATTGAACTGTTGTGATCGTGCAGCAATTATGGTGAGTAGTAAGGAATCAAACAATTAAGAAAGCAGGAGAAAATAACACACAGAGATTTACGTGGTTCGGCAATGTGCCTACATCCACGAGAGCGAGCGGCCGTTCTTTTTCATTATTCAAAGTAGGGTTACATCTTAAGTATTTATATAACCCTAATACGAACGTATTTACAAAAATACCCATGTACCGTACTGCGGGGGCGTTGCCCCTGCACCCCCAACTAATCAGCGTCCCTTTTATATAAATCCCGCAAGGCAGATGTCGTCGCGGGCTCCGCTCCGGCATCTGCCTCCTTGCCATTATGCACACAGCAAATATGAATCACACATACTCTAACTTCAAGTACAGTCCATTTTCCATTATGCCGCTCCCCCATACAATGTACTAAGGTATAATAACCGTCCTGCAATCTAATTTTTGGTGAATGCCTTTGATGAAAACAGTTGCATGGAGGATGGCTATGAAACCTATTGCGGAGAAAGAGGTGTGCAGCTCTCAGGTGGACAGAAGCAAAGAATAGCCATTGCTCGAGCTATATTGAAGAATGCTTCAATACTACTGTTGGATGAGGCAACAAGTGCATTAGATTGTAGATCAGAGAGATTGGTGCAGGAAGCAATGGAGAAAATGATGGTTGGTAGGACATGTGTTCTCATAGCTCATAGACTATCAACAATTCAAAAAGCAGATTCAATAGCAGTGATTGACAATGGGAAGCTAGCAGAAGAGGGTTCTCACCACGAGCTGCTCTCCAAAAGAGAGAAGAGCATATACTACTCACTTGTTAGACTCCAAAACAAAGACACATTGGGATAATTACCATTCACAATAAAAAAATACCAATTAGAACAAGAAAGAAATATGTTTAGTATGTCAATGGGATTTCTATACCCCTTCACAACAAAAGGATACAAATATTCTCGATTTCAGTTTTTGTCAATTTCAATCATGATCAAATCATTCATGGTTAAACTCGTTCAGTCCTCCAAGTAGAGTGTTATGGGTTCCACAGACCTGTCATGGGATTAATGATTTTATGCTGAATGATTTATCCGATCAAAATATTAACAAATGCCTTTTAAATTCTAAAGTCAATGGAAATGAAAATACATCCACACATGAAGTAGTGAGTTTGAATGACTCACTTACCCAATATAAGAAATCAAATGGACAAAGTATATAGTATAGCAAGCTTTTGAAGGAATTTCATTAATGTCACTCTCATCTGTCATGCATGATTTGCCTCTGATCTTGAGGGTATGCACCATCTCTATATATTAAGCTGTAGAAAAAAGAAATCAACATTAAGATATTGGCATATTGAAGGATTTGTCAAAGACTCTCAGAGTTGTTTATGATTTCCATCAATTGGCCTGCAGGCTTATTGTATTTGAAAATGTCAGTGTCACATGATTTTCAAACATGGCTTTCATACCTGGGAAAGTCTAGGATTTTCGTTAGTATTTGAACGTAACATCTTCTTCAAGGCACACAAAAAGAAAGTTTCCAACCTCAATCGGCAGTGATATAACCTGCCACTAGTTTATACCCTATACCCCAAGTGATATCTCTAGTTCCCTCACCAAGGAAGCCCAAGCTGACCAGCAGACAAGGGGAAGAGACAATAACCAAAAATGGACAAGA